CATAGCCAGGTTTCATGCCGCCTGGTCAGCGGCTGGTTTGCTCTCGCCTCCTGAGCTGGACCAGCTTCGGCAACCAAGAAGTTTGGGTACTTTGTTTGGCCAACCCAGGACGTGAGTTGCATGGTGTATATACTTTGTTTCCCACAAATCAGCCAACGGTGAATCAAGTAAAAGTTCATTTTTGCGAGCGGACCGCTTTTCGAATTGGTTTACAGGGAAATTACGAGAAGCAACCGATATGTCCGGCGTCGGAAAGGGTAAAGGGAACCCAGTTGATTAGTAAAAAGCGTTGGTTGATTTTGAGCGGGGGTGTCCCATTTAACAAGGAACCCTGATCACTGTTGGGGGAGCCCCCTTGTTAATCTGATGAATCCAGGGTCACTACATATTGCCAACTGACTTGTTCACTACCCAAGGTCAGGATTGATGTTCCCTGCTGGTTTTGGAAGGAAGGCACCGTACCGTGACTGGGGAACATGTTTGTCTTGCAGGTGTTAACCCCCTGAGAGTTCAAAACCCCGATGAAAGAAGTTCGTAAAGGTGTCATCCTGCAAGTTGCTGCGCGAAAGGAAAACAGGGCATCACAGGGCCGCGAAAGCTTCGATGCAAGAAGTGTATGTGTGTGTGTGTGCCGCGCGCTGCATACTCTCCTTCCAAGTGGACGTTTGGGTTGCCCTTTTCGATTCAAGAGGACAGTACAGTACCCGACACCTTCTGCCAGCTTCCATGATCGTTGGACAAAGGATACATGGGTGTTGTTTTTGGGGCGGATCCCCCAAAATCATGGTTCCTGGTTTCCTTCTAAAAACCATAGCACACAGGGGTATCTTCAAAAAAGACAGACTCAAAGCAAGTTAAGCATGCTTGCCAACAAGACTTTGCAGACAACTGCCAGTTGAACCTGATCGATGGAGTGGACAAAAGATCTGTGATACCAGACAAAGTCCAGCTCTCAAGTGTGATTGAATCTTTGTTTTTTTTTCTTCTGTTTGTTGTGTTTCCGACTTTGTGACGGGTTGGGATCTTTCCAATGTTCTCCATCTCTCACTTTTCCAGTATTTTTTTGTTGTTCGTGCTTTTTTGGGGGATGGGTTGAATTACCCACCTATCGTTTCAGCCCGCCGTGACCGGCCGCCGCGGTCATGGCTCGGTCACGGAGTCACGCCGACTCCGGGCTCCGAGGGCTGGCGCCACTGCGGGCTCAGCAGCTTCGGGCAGCGCTTCGCGCCCTTGGAGCAGCTGTTCCATGGCTGGGATGGAGCCATGGGGATGGGGGTGGGCCATGGGGATGGGTCCATGCCAAAAACACAATGGGTGTGCTTTGTTTTTCTTGGGGGAGGGGAAGACCTTCCCTTTTTGGTTGGGTTTAAGACAAACCGAAAGGAAAGCGCGATCGTTTTCAAGAGAACATGCTGGTTTAATGGCCGCTTTTCTTGTTAAAAGCAGTTAATTAACGTTCGCGGAGAAACAGCAGATTAACAGGTCGAACCCAACACGCGCAGCCGAGTTACTCTCGAGGAGATACAATCGGGTGTGTCGTTTTTTGGTGGATACCCCATTTTGGTTTCAGAATAGACCGGAAGGAAGACAGCTGTGTTTTTTTTGGGAGGGGCGCTAGAAGAGACCGCCCCATTTGAGACTACTTGGTTTGGGGAACAATTCACAAATCTGAAAGGGCAGGACCATGTGGGACCCCCGTTTGGATGGAGTAAAACAGGAAAGCCGAAAATACCCCCGACCATATTTTTTGTCACCCTTATTTAGGACATGAACATATATCACACGGGAAGTATAGTACGTGTTGAACCTCGTTCGAACTGGTTTCCTACGTCGTCCTCAAGTCCCCCTATCTTGGGACTCACGAGAGGCCAGAAGTGAATGCTGGGGTTCGATCAACCCGCCCCGCTCCTCTGCATTTGGTCGGGTCAGTGGATATTATCACACCAGAGAGTTTCTAGCCAGCTCAATCCTTAGCTTAGCTAGAGACTGAGTCGGACTGAGCTGCTTTTCTGACAAGGGGCCCTACTGATGTTCCAAAAAAGCAAGCACGCAAGCAGCCAACCAACCAAGAAACCGGTTTTGTTTGAAATCACTTTGTATGTCCTCAGTTTGGACTCTCCACCAAGCAAGTGAGGAGATTCCAAACAAAAAGCTCAACACCCCGGTCCATTCGGCTCCTTTTTTTTGTTGTGAACTCACACCTTTCGAATTGACATCTCGGGGGCCCGGTGTTTTTTGTGTTGGATTCCCGCCTGTGGCCGCAAACAAGGCGCAAACAAGGCTTCCTCGAGAGCCTAAAACAAACACAGACATAGCAGACCAACAAGCAGTCACAAAAACACACGGACAAACAAACAAACACACAGCTTAACCAGGCACACAAACAAACAACCGAATACTCAAGAAAGCAAGCAAGAAAGCAGGCAAGCAAACAAAGAAGGCAAGCAATCAAGCAAGCAAGCAAGCGAACTAATAAATAAAATCCCCAACAAACAAGCAATCAACCACACAATTGCACAAAACTGAACTGACAAACGCACAAACGCACAAAAACAAACATAAACCTACGCAGACACGTAAACATGCAGACACGGAGACACACACACACACACAAACACTCCCCCAAACACTCACGCAAACAAACAAACAACCAAACAAACAAACAGGCAAACAAGCAAGCAAGCAACCAACCAACCAACCTGTTTGTTTCTTCAAGTGGCTTTAACCATGTAGAACCAGTAGTCGATGGGCTTCGGGCACTCACATCTGGTCAAAATATCGTTCAGGGTTCGGGAAACGGGACAAGCTCTAAATTTCTCACGGAAGAAACAAAAACAGGTACGTGCTATTAGTGGAAAGCTTTGTACTTTGCGCGGGGCTGTGGTTATCTTCCGAGGCTGTCCGGATCGCTCAGCGGCAGCGAGTTCCTGTGGTTTTCCATTGGCGCGCCGTGGCAAAAAAACAACAACGCGGCTTTGAGCCGAGCTGGGGTCCCTCACTTGCGTAAGGGGCTAGACAATTGGGTTTGTCTCAAAATAGGGGAAACCTTGAAGTGGTGGTGTCTTTCAAGTAAGGGAAATGGGAAATGCGTGAGTCCCCTGGATTTTGTAGGTAATACAATGAGTCCCTACATGTCCCTAGCTACTCATGGCCTCCCCACCAGCACAGGCTTCCAGGCCGTTCTATATTTTGATATGGGTTTGCGGGGAACTTGAAAGCCCATTTTTAGTTTTTGCTCACTTCTTGACATTGGCCAAGATAAACTGAAGCACGATATAGACCAATAAACTGTGTCATTCAGTGTCTCTTTTTTGAGCGTATCCTTTTGAGGAACAGTTTCAAGGGAAACCCGGTGCTCACCCTACCAAATCAACAGGGGTTAGTCCGCTTATATTCATGGTCCTGATCTACTTGCTAAGCCGGTTGCACACCCAAGTATATTTTGACTGTACCGAGGTGCACGAAACGAAGCCTCCAAAGCATGGGTGTTTTCTGGCCTGACTCACATCCCATTCAAACTTGTGGGCGCCCGCCTGTCGTTTTTCCCACACGCGCATGTTTGTGTGATTGTTTCTAAGCCCTTCAAAGGGCAGGGTTGCTTCTAAGGGTTTCAAGGAATTTGCACTGTGGAAGCTGAGTTTAAGCCAGGTTCCTTTGAGGGACCAGCCCTGAAGGACCTGGGTTCTGCGGCGTTTTTTTTTTTTTTTTAAGGGTACCCCTTTTCTGTTGGACTTAACTGGAAGCCAAGAGGAAAACTGCCATTTCGTGGGGTCCCCGAAAAAAAAGAGACGTAGCCTTTTCTTTCTGAAGCCCACAAAGTGTAGCGGATCAACCTACCCATAATTGCTCCAGCTGGCCCAAGTTGGCAAATGCTGCAAATTGCAACCTACCATGGGCCAAAGAACACTGGCACGTGCCATCCCTTCTTGGAGTTGGTGCTCATGTTTTTGGCTAGTTTGAAACAGAATTCAAAGGGAGACCAAGCATCTTTGCCCGGTCCCCTCACCTTAACGGACGAGGGAATGAGGACCTGACCTCTAGATTTGAGCCGCGACTCGTTTTTCTCAAGAAACAATAGCATCGGCCATTTTGTGTGGTGCTGATTCCAGTAGCTCATGGAAACAACAAACACGACTCGTACTTTGCTTGGGGCAGGGCTGGTTGATTCCAATTCTAGAGGGTCCAAGTACCTGAGGATGGCTTTTTGGGGGGTAAAATGGGGGTCGTTCAGTGCCTTACCGTCTGAGAATGGTTTCTGACATTGTCTGGGAATGGTTTCCTTCAGTACCTCTGGGAATGGTTTCTGGGAATACCTCTTGAGAAGCTTCCAGGGGACCCTCTGGGAATGGGGCAACAATTTGGATGAAGCTCCTCAGGTAAACAATGGTGGCCATATTAACCCCCTTTGTGTTAATGGTTGTAACCTAGGTCCCCCAGTGCCCTTTTTGCCCCTTTTTTGGGGGAGGGTGTTTCGATTAAAATAGACCACAGAAAAACAAGGTACCAACTTATTCTAACCTCTCTGGAGGACCTAACTGAACCCCAGGGTCCGCTGGTTTCCAGGGGGGTTCCCGTGTTTCCTCCTTTTCGCGTCGACAGGTCCTGCAGGGCCTGTCCTACGAAGGCCTTTGGCTTCAGCGCCCGGTCTGCCGCGAGGCGCCGAAGGGGGGACCTCCTCAAAGCTCTGCCTGGAGTCTCCCCACCGCTCGGACTGCTAGGAGTGGTGGGGGTATGACCCTTGGCAAAACTAAGACCTCATTAAAACCAACATAAAAGTTGGTAACCCATGTAACTGGGTAACCCATTTAACCCGCCACGGAGACTCCAGGTGGTTGGAGGAATGTGTAGCCCAGTGCTGCCAGGCAAGTCACTACAGTGGGTAACCAGGTAGTTTTACTTGTAGAGCGTGTGGGTTTTACATGATGGCTTTTCCTGGTTACCCAGTATAGTGGTAACTGGAAGCATCGGAATCTCATGCTGTTGCCATCCCAAGATAGCAAATTCCTCAAATGCAAAAATACGAGGTATTCTGACCCCTTCCGCATGATTCGAGGGTATCTGTTGAGCTCTGATGAACCGTCATGAAGCTTTCCCTTGGCATTGGAAACCAACGGGGGACAATCAACCCGAAGCTTCTGCGGAGCTGAACAAGATTGAACAAGCCAACGGTTCTCGACATGGGAACTCAGTTGACCCCCTGTCGAATGGTACAGGGAAGCCACGAAGCTTCCATTTTGGGTTTCCTTCCCGTTTGCCTTTCAATCCCCCAGAATCCCAATAATTAATTACCCTCAACGAAGAGCTGCCTCAAAAGACTAGAAGTTTTCCGGTTTTTCCTAGCCCTTCCCTACCTTCTTCCCCACGTTTCGAGGGGGCCACCCTACGCACCGCAGGGCCCGATGCTTCTGCTGCTGCGACCCCGGCAGAAGGGCTCCCGCGCCTCCGTTTTACCCTTGGGCGCCTGGGGTGAGGCCAGCGGCCAAAGTCGGGGGAAATGGCAGCCCTCCCTCCGCCGCGCTTTTGTTTTTCGTTTGGACTGTCGGCTTGCCTGGACAGTCCAAGTAACGCATCATCGGATTTACTTCAGGCCAAAAGACAGGGGAAAAGTGCACTCTCCCGAGGTTTTGGACCCTTGGAAGGGGCGTATAAAACCCACTAAACCCAAATGTTAGGCATTAGAACGCCCTTTATCCGCAAACCGAGGCTGCCAAGTGAATTTATTGGCCCAACAATGAGGGTCTCTAATAAGGTTTGTCCAATAGAGTTTGCTTCTGGGCAGATGGGCTTCACTCCCTGTCCTGGACTTGAGTCACTTTATGAACCCCTACGGCCTTGGGTTACCATGACATGGTTCTTGCCAATGCAATCCTGGGCAGCGGTGGCTTGTACAAGTGGGATGGGGGCAAACAGATTGAACTGTGGGCCATTCCACTGCAAGTGAAACATGGAAGTGGGCTTGGGTGTTGGAAGAAGGGTTGCCTGTTTGAAGCGGGCCTGGTGGAAGACTGTACTGTTGATAACGTTGGTAGTCCACTTTCACTTGGCCGCTCGGTTTGCTTTCAAAGGGGGTTTAATCCGAGTAAACCCGGTTTACGGGCTTTAGACCCCCCTTACTAGCAAACAGAGGCGGCCAAGCATGGGAGGGTACAGCAGTAGCGAGACTGTCGAGCCACATCAGGGTGGTCGCTCTCATGCGCAGGGCGCAGGGTTGGTCATTGTGCTATGGGAGGTCCAAGTGGCACTCATCGGTTCTCACAAGCTAGGGCACCCATGGCACCCCAAAGAGCGGTTTTGCTTGTGGATTTCCCATCCCCCAAGAGGAGGTTCCTCTAAACGTGATGGCTTAGCAGTGCCGATCGATCTCCTTCTGCCTGGGCCCTGGGGCCCTGGGGCTTTGGGGCCCTGCAGGCTGCGCAGCCAGAAGTCCTGGAAGTCGGGGAATGCGGGCCAGAAGTACCTTGGCAATGGAAATCCGAGTCCAACCGCCGAAAGGGGAGGCTCTCCAAACAGGATTTTCTTTGGGTTGGTGATGTCAACCTGGGATTAATCCAAAAAGACCCTAAGAATCAGAGGAACTGATCCTGTCCTTGGCGGCAGGGGGAACCACCCCTGAGTAGTATTGTCTTCCAAATTAGTCCGAGGTTATATAACATTGTTCAACAGGACACCCTATCAGCTTCTGGTGGAAAGATTGTTTGCTTTGTCAGAAGCAGTGGGGCTCGTGAGCATGCTGAATTTATGTTGGTTCCATGATGGTCGAGTTTGAACATTGTCCTTTTGACTCACAGGTCAATTAAAAGAGGGCCCACTGCCCGCACTGTGTTTAGAGTTATCTTTGTTGGGACGTATCAAATTATGAAATGTGGCGCAGACTTGAGAGATTGTGAGTCCAAGGCTGCAAAATAATCACCAAATTGCCTCCTACTGCTGGTTGTGGCCTCAACCATCCAGTGACTCAAGCAGTGACAAGGCTTGAGTTTCACCCCTGCAATTTGTGCAGGCAGCGTTTTTCGTCTCTTGGATCGGCGGAGTGGCAGAACTGTTTTTCGCCGCGGCATGAATGGAAGGCCCATCCGAGGTAGAGAGGCCCTCGAGAAATGATTCTTGGTTTCCCTGAAAACGATACCAAGACAGTACTGTAACGCACACTTCCCTTAGGTCAACATGCCTGGGGAACCCCGTAGGCCCGATGGCTAGGACATGCCCTTGCTGCTTCAGCTGGTACCGCGGGCTTCCGGCGAAGAAGCAGAGCTGCGAGCGCGTGAAGCGGAGGAAGATCACTCCCTGAGTTGGACTCCACGTTACCATGGAACCTCACTGAGGGGTGGAAGAGGGGTCAGTAGTTTGACATAATGCCACCAGGTCATCGTAAAATCAAAGAGTCAAACATCGGACACCGCGACTGAGGCTTAGCGGAGACAGCGAGCTACTCACTTCCCGAGTTTCTGGGTTTTAAAGCCTTTTGGGAAGACCATGTTAGTGGTGAATAGCATTTCTAGAGAGTTTTTGGCCGATCCACTCAGGAAGTGAGATTATGCAACCCCACCTGCTTTGCACTGGTGAGGAGACGCTCGGCACTGGCGCCTGTCGTGTCATGGGCTCTCTTATGACCTCGGATGACAGCCAGGTGGGCGGTTGGTTAAACCTTATGCCAGTGCTTCTAGTTGGCACTACAGAAGGCAACCGGGAAATCATGACATACAATTAGCATGTAAGACGTGTTGGTGACTATAGTGGAGACTGGAAGCACTGGGCCAGTGGGTACCGGTTTGCCTTGTAGTGACCTACGGATTGCGGATCTGGATTGCCCATTTTGAACAAATGCACGTTACTTCCCTTTGTCAGGCGGCCGCAAGGGGCCTACGTTCCATTGAATCAGAGCAGTGGGACCAGCAATGCATGTATGAGTACAGGTGTGTTGGTGAACATGAGCAAGCGTATCCGATCTTAAGCCTATTATTTGACTTAAGGGCTTCCTTTGATCTCCGCTCTAACTCCAGCGCAGGCAGCTTCTGGGCAGCTGGCAAGAAATGACGTTGATGCCTCCGACGCGTGAAAGTATCAGCCGCGTGAAAGTATCCGCTTGGCACCACATGACTGTGTGGCTGGGCTGTAGCCGGCCAGAGCTACAGCCATAGTCCAGGGGCCAGGGGCGGGCAGTGCACAGCTGCACGAATGGCCCCAGCTGCGGGCTTGGGCGCGCGTGGCCGACGCTCACGGCCCCGCAATGGGTTGCAAGGGCCTCAGGCAGGTTGGTCACCCACCTTAGCTGGCCGCTTTAAGCCTGGGGCTAGGTGGAAAGGAGCCATGGGGCTCGCTTCAGCAGTGGGCAAAGCTGCCCGTGTAAGGTTCTTTGACTAGCGCTACAACTACTCCGACTGCCACTCGCCTACTATGACTACGACTGCTATTACGACTACTACCACCACTCCTACTACCACTCCTACTCCCACTCCTACTACTACACCACTGCGATTACAACTACTACTACTACTACTACTACTACAACAACAACAACAACTACTACTACTACTACTGCTGCTACTACTACTACTACGACTATTAGTACTGCTACTGCTACTGCTACTGCTACTGCTACTAGTACTAGTACTTCTACTACTACTACTGCTGCTGCTGCTGCTGCTGCTGCTGCTGTACTCCTACTACTGCTACTACTAGTCGTACCCCTACCAAGTTGTGTGAAAGCCAGCCCAGCATGCTTTTGGGAAGATCCCTATGATCTAAAGAGGGATTTGGCCGCTTCCCGGGCCAAGGCGGATTTTCAGAAGCATCTCGCTTAAGTAACCTAGAGGCGCCAAGCCCATTGTAAGGTCCCCTTCAACTCGCACTTTCATTCATTACGGGCCAGAACCTAGCAGTCCCCAGCTGTACCTTGGGACACCGAGTGCCCGGTGTCTTTTCCAAAGCCAGCGATGGCACGAGTTTTGCCACTGTTTGCCACCCAACAGTTGGGGAACATGGAAATGAACGCCACCTGCAAATCCAAATTTGTGGTTGGTAATTTGGGTCATTCCAAAGAATAGCCACTAACCTGATTGTGCTACCGTTGTTTGCAACAACCGTCTCAAATCAATAGGCAAGAACAGGCCGGCCATCTCTCTGTGCTGCAGATGGCGATCCCCTTTCTGAGCCTCGGACATGCTTTTCGTGCTTCGGGGCCCTGTAAAGGAGGTATGTGGGTTTGTCGACATGTTTCGGGCCCCGCTTTTTTGAACACACGGCCATGTCAAGCCCTCTGAACCTCAAAACACATGCGCGAACCACAATCAAAACCCAGGTAGATGGAGGGTACAATGACACAGCCCCTACCCTCTCAATTATTTTCACGGCTTTGGGTAGAACACGTCAGTACCATCAAGCATATTAAGGATTTTTTAATATGAACAACGATCAATAATTACCGTCATTTACTGTAGTAAAGGGGAGGACGCGCACTCACCAATTGTCCAATCGGAAATGGGGAGGTTGCTCGCCAACAGTCCAGGTTGGGGGGGACTGTGAGTGCGTGCGTCTTTTCGTTGTACCCTTTCTGGTCTTTTTCAAGGAACCCCGAAGGAAAACCGCTTCGGAGTTCACCTTTTGAGTCATATATCCTCATGTAAATCCATTTTGGAGTTTGCCCCGCAGTTGCACTGCGGGCCCACGCCCGGGATGCGGGTTCTTGGTTTTCCTTCCACAAGAAAAGCAGAGCAACGCAAAGAAAGCCACGTTATTTCTCTCGTTTTGAAGTTAACCTTCTGGTTACAATACAAGTTGCCTCAACCGTAACTGCATGTAACAGCTATATTGTTTATTTTGGTTTACTGCACCTATTGTTGTTAAACATTTTTTATACATGTTATTGATTGCATTTAACTGCATGAGCCAGTCTCCTTTTATAGACGTGATTTGAAGTCAAATGGGACAGCCCTTTATTTCCCCACGCTTTCCAGTGGAAACTTTCGTGTTCGGGATCCTGGAATGGAGGACGGACAAACCAGTCACCGGGGACAAGGGTTTCTCCACGACAAAGATGGAGGATGGACAAGGAAACAGAGAGTTCTCTGGAGATGAACCTCGCATAGCCCCCAAAGCTCTACCCAGGAAGCTCAGCAGCCGCTTCTCGCCTGGGTCGGACCGCATCCATGCCCTTGGGGATATGGTGCGCAGAGGTGGGGCGTTGTTGTTTTTTCACCGGGATATCGCCTGGCTTCTGTTTGGAGTTTGTTTTTTGGTGTGTGTGTGTGTGTTTGTCTGTTGTAGAGTGAAATGAAAGGACCAGCGCTCATTTCGGGCCCCTATTTTGGGAAAGGTGCGGATGGCGAGCATGTTTGCGATGCTGGCCAAGCGAGTGTGCGCGTGTTTGTGTTGGGGTGAACCTCCCATTCTGTGGGTTGCCCCCATGAGCAGAGGCGCCCATCCCCAAGGCGAGGATTTGCCCAACTCGTTGGCTAAACGCAACGTGGCCGCCATGTTGCAAGCCCAAAAGGGATGTGCCAAGTGTGCGGCAGGGATGGGCAAAGTGTCTGTAACAACCAGACCCTGGCCACATTCACAGCAACCAGAAAGAGGTTGTTTGAACAACAGGTGTTTTTAAGCATGTTAACAACAACGGATTGCAACCCTGGTGTGGAGGCTACGAAGGCTGCCGCCTGAACAGCTTGCTGCAAACAGAGCCGCATCTCCGTGGCTGAGCTGCAGCTTGATGCCGCTCGAGATGGGTCTCCAAGCAGGATTTGGACTTTTTCATCAGAAAAGATTGGTGTTCATGTCGCAGTGCTTCCAGCTACCAACATAAATAATACTACCCAGTGGATCCCGTTACACAAATAGTAGGTAACCAACTATTTTCCTTTGGTTTTCATTCCAAGCATATCGGGCGGTTCCCTTGGTTCCCTACAAAACCAGTGACCAGGGTGTCTTACCTCTCGGTTTTACATGCTCACTTCATTTGCGTTGGTGGCCAAGTTGCGCTACTGGCAACTGGAAGCACTGGGTGTGCATGGAGTCCTCATGTTGGCCACTGTCATAGGTGACGAGGGTCCGGAAGTGGTGCAAGGCCATAGTAGTCAACGATTCAAGCCTTTGCCTCCTCTGCTCGAAGCACCTCCAAAGAAGGTACCCGGTGTTAGGGTTTAAGGGTCTTTCAGTTGAGATCTAAGGTCCCAACCACTTGCCCCAGGTACCTCTAGTGCCTCTTTTTTTTAGGGGTCCCCTCAATATCAAGCCACAGACGGGGCTACAATGAAGAAGTAGTAAGATTGCCCTATGATAAATGACTTAATTTGGTGTTGGAAGTACCTGGAAGTGCCCCGCAATCTCTTATTTAGCCCCTTCTACCATGCGACCTATTGTATTCCCAGAGCTGCAGAGAACTCAGAGCAATGCGATGCATCCAGTTTCCCCCATGGGGCTCCATTTGGCTGTTCATATTGTGGATGGACGAAATCCATTTCGCACCAACTAAGAAGCCCTGGTTTCTGATACGATTCCCCTGTAAATCCCAACAGCCGTTATGGTTTCTCCCATAGTTTCATTTCGTAGCGCGAAGGGATTTCACAACCTTCCACGGCAATGCTTTGTGCTTGGCCGCGGTTGGACCCCCCAAAAAGGTGGCGTTCCTTGTGGTTTTCCTCTAAGACCCACCAAAAGGGGGGAGTGCCAACTCCCCAAAAAAGACGCGGCACCATAGGGACTGCTTCCCAGGCCTGCCATGTGCTGCCTGGATGGAGAGCTGGACACTCGCCGCGCAGGAGGCCATGTGGATTCGGTGTGTCCACCCACTCTTGCCTTTTCAGTAGTGAGAAATCTTGGTGGCTCCCAGCCATCCGGTTCCTTAGCCTTTTAGCTTTTTAGGTTTAGTGGCAGTTTCCATTTAACCCACTAAAAGTTAAACTTTTAGCGGGGGATCTGAGGGCAGAAATGGAATGACCCCAAGAAAAACCATCCGTCAGAGTTGGTTTCCTTGAAGGGAATGATAGGCACGTAGAGATGGAAGTGACCGCCAAGAAAGCCGTGCATCCGAGTCGGTTTCATTAGCCCCCAAAACCGGTTCATTCCGAGTTCCCAAAACCTGGTCTCGCTCATTCCCTATCGCACCAGCAAGTCTTGTTGGCATGTGTTTAGTTGCTTTTTTGGTGTTGTTTGGTTGTGTTGATTGTTGTGTTTTTGTTTGCTGAAACATACCAAAGGTTGGAAAGGACTGGTGTTCAACCATTGACCGTTTTAGGTGCTACTTGGTTTCATGGGGGAAATGCCGAGGCCTTGTTTCTGAACCCTGGTAACCTGCGGCAACTGAACGCACTGGGATGGTTGTAGGAGGAAATGGACTGGGGTAATGGGTGGTTTGGAGCCCGGAGCTTCGGTGGTTAAGGGCAGGTTTCCCAGAAGAAGAGCCAGGGGTTCAAATCCAAATCCACCGGGCTCCAAACCAAGCAGGCAGCTGAAGAATGTTTCTCCCGTGATGCAGTAGGCAGGGATGGGACAATTGAAGGGGGTTGGGAACTCTGTTTGTGATGCCAGCGGAATGCCCTTGCTCGGATTTCTGAGTCACGTTAGGAAGGGTTTCGTCAGGCAGTCCGTTTGTCTGTTTGTTTGTTTGTTTGTTTGTCTCACAGGTGCCTGGCTGGCTTCAACACTTTCTGGGTGTGGCTGGGCCACTGTCGCTGCCGGGCGGAGAGAGGGCCGGGTGTCGCAGTTTACCTCTTTGACCCCCATGCGTTTGTCTCGAGGGACCCAACGATGGTTGGCTCCCTGGTGCGCCTCTGAATCCGATCGAAAAGGGGCTGCCCCCACACAAAAGTCAGACTCATCCCAAAAAGAGTCCCCAGTTTGCACTCGCCAGCGCAAGATGTAAAAGAGGATTCAAAGGTGCGAGGCAGTGAACCTCACAGAAGCCAAATTCTTGTCCGTCGAAACAATTGCCAAGGGCGGGGGCTAAAAGGGAAAAGATCAGTACCTGCTGCAAGGTCTGGCAGAAGTGTTTCAGGCGCAGCCTTTGTTGCCCTAAGTCTCAATCAAAGGAACCCCAGTCTCTGCTTCCACGTGTCAATGCACCAATCAATCTTTGGAAGCGGCGGTGCATCCTGTCTAGATCCTGTCAACGCTGAGTGTATTGTCTAGGGGACGGCCTTCAGGAAATCCCCATCGAAATGACGCCCACCAAAGGGTCCAGACTTGGAAACAAATATGTTTGGTGCCTCCCAGCGATGCTTAGCCAAGGTTGATGAAGATGCGCGACAGACACATCGAGCGAGATGCATGGCTGCACACATCTCGCATTCCCAGAAGGGAAGGTAAAACAAGACAGGCGCAGTTCAAGAGTTGGTCAACAGGGGCCCTTTGATTTATTCCCAAGGCTTTTTGGTGGGTTGAAATGTCAAGGGGGAATTTAGGGAACCCTGATCAAGCCAAAGTGGGCAAGCTACTTGTGTGATGCTTCACCTGATGAAAATGCCTTAGCAAGCGGGATGCTCCGACTGACTTGCAGGGTCCCCTTCAAAATCGTTGGCTTCATGCTTCCAGTGCTTCCGGCTGCCATGGTAGGTAACCAGGGGACCCCATCACAAAACACCTAGAGGTGAAACTAGCTGGGTGCCTCCAGTTAGTGGCAACTGGAAGCGCTGGTATATACATGAAAAAAGGGTTTCCCTTTTATTTTGGTTGCCATGACCTATCATGACCCCATTTTGCATGTTTCCTTTAAAGGCCAGGTAGCTTCGTGACCAACGGATCGCTTTGTTGCAGTCCAACTTGTGCTCAGGAGCTCGTCACAGCGAAGCGCCTTGGAAGGAGCTGAAAGCTATGGGATCCACTCAGTTGTTCAAAGCGAATCGACCTATTTTAACCTCTTGGTTTTCTCTGTTTGGCAACCATTGTAGTCATGGCCCCAAAAGGTGAAGCTTTCAGTTCCAGGTTTCTTTGGGCAAGCGAGAATAGGCTATGGGGTGGTTTGGGCTTTTCGCAAAAAATCACGAGGCTTTTGGAGGGGTTCGGGACTTGGTGTTTTTTGGGGGACTCCCCCAACATGGATTTTGGCGTTCCTTCGGTTGGCCTTAAAAACCAAGAAAGGCGTGCCCTCAAAAAAGACACCCATTCAGTCCCTCGCGATAGAACACAATCAATGTGGATGGCTTAAGTTCGGGGACCCAAGAGGGTGTTCTGGTTCAAAAGGAGTTCGTCCCAAAAGCACAAGTTGTCAAGTTAATACAAATATATCAATGTACAAATATATATATATACACACATACACACGTATTCGGGGTCCCCGACAATGGGTTGTTTGCCGTAGGCTTCCCTCGAAAGGGGTATTGTTATGGGCTTGTTTAAGATGCCAACAAATATACAAGTATGGTTGCGCAAATAGCCTTTGCCTCGCAACAATAGATCGCCTTCATTTGAAATGAGCAAGGCTGCATTCCAGCCTTGCGCGTGTGAAGCTGAACACTCAAGGTTTCATGGATTCTCTTTTGATTAACCGTGACTTGTTGGGCCCATGTGTTTTCATGTAGTTTCCCTTTGAATAATTCGATGAACTCCAACACGCCGAGGTCAACGGGTGTTGTCCCCGATCTCTTCAGCATGCTGGACATCAAGCGCGCCATGCAGGCAGCGGTTTGCGGATAAACAGTTCCTGGTCCAACATTCCAATTGCTCCCTCATGTTTTTCTTTCAAGCAATGACACATTCTGAAAAATCTCCCTGAGCTAGAATTCTGGAAGTACAACTAGGAACATAGTTTCTGGGCGCCACACGAATCTGGGCGCCCTCACCAGGGCCTGAAAGGTGTAGTGGAATACCAAGCATGGCATAGCAGTAGACACTCCCGCAAGGGACCCGAAGTGACTTACACCGCTCCTTTTAATGCGTCTGACCACGAAACGAGTCACCCTCCTTCCATGGAGGTGGACTGAAGGTCTGCTTTCCACGACAGTAATCTTCCAAGCCCCCCCTTTTTTTGCACTTTTATGATTGCTGGAGGGGTGTAATCCTACCGGCAGAATCAACCTCCACCACGATGCGGAGGAAATGACGTTTATGGTTTGGTTGGTTGGTTGGTTGGTTGGTTGGTTGGTTGGTGAGCGGCTTGCTGGGTTCCGCCGCCACGGGCGACCTTCCCTCCCGCCAGTTACGTTTTTGACTTGGGGAAACGTCTCAAACCCCCAGCTGGACGGTGCCTGTGTCGGCTCGGATAATGACAACCTCGGATTAATCCAGGCCCTAAACAGAGGGACCCCCTGAAAGTAGATAGATGGTGTCCATACTCAACGGGGGACCACCATGACTTTCTCAAAGGGGGACCACCATGATCAGCAAGATCCCTCGGTTGATCCGGAATTATCATGAGGCGAAGGATTTGTCTAGACGGTGCAGTGACATTTGTTCCCGCTCTGCCCTGAAGGGCTTTGCGGCAGCAGATTCAGGCATGTGGATTGATGCATGAGAATATGTTTAATATTATAGTGCATTCGCGGCAGTGCTGGCTCTGTTTGTCGCGGACGATGTTGTCAGTTACTGCTGTGGATTTGTGGCTGCTGTTCTGCAGTTGTGTGCAGAATACTTTGCTCTAACTTTATGCCTCACTTCGCATCTGTCCTCCGCGCTGGTTTTTTCCTTTATTGTAGCATTCTGAGCATAGACTCAACGGTCACACTCTTAAAGTGCATCTGCGTTTCGATTCCTGAGTAGTACTCCTCCCGCCTCCAGCAAGCAGATGCAACGGCCAATGCCATTTGCTGTCGGTCGCACTGCTTAAGTCACGTTGCAAGTGTCCCAAGTTGATTGATCCTTGCAAGTTTAAGTTCACCTTATCTACTGTCGTGACTGGGACGGAGTTTGGCCTGTGACATTTTCAGATGCCGAGTCTCCTTTTTACGCAGTGCTTGATCTGCTTTCCTGTCCTGTCGCAGTCAGCCTTCTTTTGAGGCTTAGGTCGTGGCTCCGCGTGCTGTCTATTTAAGCTCGCTTTCTCCAAAGGGTCCAAGTACCTGCTGAGGAGATATAACAATTGCATGTATATATATATATATATATGTTACGTGCTTAAGCGGTCAAAGGGTCAAAGTACATGATCACAATGTCGTTTTGCCCCGGACCCAAGTTGCCTCTGGCAGGCGCTGAAAGCGAACGACCCCATGCCCAAAAACTTGTGCTGCCTCATCGCCGGAGGAATCATGAGCTTCGAGGCCGATTTCGCGGCGATTTTCGCTTGCGTTTGAGCGGCCGCTTCTATTGCGTGTTTTAGTTGCTGGTGCTTTGTGGGGTCCCAGACTCTTCTATATGTTGTTTATTTGGGGATCCCTCTGGGAAACCACAAAAGATCTAACTGAATCCGGGTCTTTGGAGTGCAAAAGGCATGATCCATCACCTCCTGCACATTGACATAGAACCTCATTTCTTGAGGAATGATTTTCCTTTTTTGGGGGAAACCAACCTTTTTGTGTTTGCCACCTTAAAGGTAATCAACAAATGAGTGCCCAAAACTCTGGTTGGCATCCGTTGGCCATTCCAGAGCTTCTATCTGGTTTATATAACAGGGTTTAAGGCTTGTGTAGCACAGTTACCTCAGCAGTAACCGATCGGTGCGGCTACCTCTAGGTTTTACATCATGGGGAAGCCCCTGCCAGGTTATTTGCTGTGGTGGCGAGTAACCCATAACAATCATATATGTTACTTTTACGGGGAACCCCGACCAGGTGACGCCTACGGAGGAGCTGCTGGCATCCCTCGAGAGCCTCAAGCGGCTGGTGGCAGCCTTGCGAGCGCCTCGAACTTCATCCCAACTGGGGTTCCACTGGGCTCCCATCCGATACCAACGAAATGGCAATCGGCAACGGCTTCCTCTTTGGGAAACCCGACCATGGCAACCCGCCGGTTTCTTTTTGAAGCTTCCCTACCCTGAAGGTTCTGCAAGTGGCTTCAAGATTCGAGCGGGGCGGCCTGCTTCCTCTGAGCTGTTCAAAGGTCATGAACTGTACTTTGCCAATTTCGTGCCGGCTTGCCATCCCATTTGAAGCAGAGCAAGCTTTGGGGAAATCTGATCGCAGGGGGCGACGCAGGGGTAGCAATACCTCTGAGGAAGGCTCCTTTAAATATGTTTTTTAGTTATTAGTTAATTAATTTCTAGACTTCACGGCTCATCGGAGATGTGAGGTTTGGATACTTGGCCAGTGCGTTCTGGGTATTCAAGTTTGCGAGTGGAACGGGCCCCCTGTCCTACAATGAATTTGAAGAAACACCACTTGATTTTGTTTTGGATCATTCTTGCCTAGGTCCTCCAGTAGTGCCCTTTTGCCCTTTTTTGGGGGAGGATTCCCCTACCAAAATAGACTACAGAAACGAAAGGTACCCTTACGCTAACCTCTCTACTGAAGGACCTAGTTGCAGATAAACATCCCCAGCTGTTTTGCACCAAATGATGGCATGGCAAAGGCAGCTTTAAAGGGCATGTGATCAGCTCAGGTCTCGCAAATGGCGCGCTAACCACTAAACTGTTTGGAGCTTTTTGTGTTTTTTCCGCTTTTTGTGGGATTGTTTTGGCTTCTTGGCTTCTTGGCTTGGGCTTTTTGGCTTCTTGCCTTCTTGGCAGGTGGCGCTTTGGCTTTTGCACCCTTTCATTGGTTTTTGGCTTTAGCTTCCCGCATCCTCAGCATGACCAGTTCCCCGTGTTTTTTTATATTTTTGTTTTTGCACGTATGCACGTATGTATGTAATCTATGTAATCAATGAATGTCTGTCTGTATGTATGCACTTCTTCGAACATCATAGGGGGGGCTGCCCCCCCCCCCCCCCCCACCCAACCCCCCGCTACTTTTTAGATGTTTTACAGAAAATTTATTGCACCCCTTATTCCAATCATCCCCCTAATTGAATCATCACTTCTTCGAACATCATTGCTCCAACCTCCCGCTACTTTTTAGATGCTTTACAGATATTTTATTACACCCCCTTTTGAATCATCCCCCTAATTGAATCATCACTTTTTCGAGCATCATGGGGGGGGCTGCCGCCCTCCCCCCTCACCCCCGCCCAACCCCCCCCGGCCACCTTTTAGTTGTCTTTTCTTCGAACATCATGGGCCCTGCTACTTTTTAGACTTATTTTTATTGCACCCCTATTTGAACCATGACTTCTTCGAAACAATGGGTGGGGGGGCTGCCGCCCCCTCAACCCCCCATCTGCTTTCTATATTCTAATGCACCCTTTCTTGAATCATCGCTTCTTCGAACATCACCCCCCCCCCCCCCAACCCCCCACTACTTTTTAGTTTTTTTACAGACACTCAATTGCACCCCTAGTTGAATCATCACTTTTTCGACCATCATGCCCCCCCCCCCCCCTGCCAACCCGCCCGCTAGTTTGTAGATTTGTTTCCCCACGATTGTCTGGTGATGCTGGCGATGTTGGCGGGACGTGCAGGGGATGTTGAAAACGATGCTGGGGAGGTTAAATTTCGTGAGAAAATGTTGTAAACTACGACATTTTGCTGGCCAAGACGGAAAAGAAAACGAAAACAGTTCCCAACATAAATCCGCACCCAAACAGTTTTCCAAATGTTCAGCTTGTGAAGTGTTGTAATCTGTGCAGAATCCCATTTTGCTAACAGTGTTTTGGCACCAAAATATGAAACCAACCAGAGCGCTGGCGGTTTGTTGGGCAACAGCTGCATTTGGCAGTGCTCGGGCAGGCGCAAGACACCTATCGCACAAGGCGCGCCTGCTGGGAAAGAGAAATGGGTGTCTTTGTGTTGGGGCAGGTTTTTGTGTTTTTGTGAGGGGGGGGGGGTGTCAAGAAAAGCAAAGGGAAGCCACTCACTTTTGCAGTTAGAGACAACCCTAATTCTTGTGCCGAAACGCTCCCGATCGGCTCTCTGGCGATCGGCTTTGGGACCCCCAGACCCCGGGCCCAGTAAGCTTTGTAGCGATGCGGTGCTATAGAGTGGTATCTGGTCCCAAACGTAGTAGACGCTCGGTTTTTTTTTCTCCGGTGAGACAGACGCAACGTAAGAGCGCCCGAAGGACATTCAAGCCGAACTGGATGCGCTCATTGGACTCCCAGTCTTTGCTTGGAAGTTCGGCCCACAACCAGGGCTTTCCTCATGCAAAACCTACAGGTAAAAATACCTGGCTACCTACTATAGTGGAGGAACACCTGGAAGCACTGTGGATTTGGTAGGGACGGTAGTGACATGGAGAGTTACCAAATTTCAATCAAGCCGAAGGGGCCCATGTCCAAAGGGAAATATGTTGATTTGTTCTCACGTCCAGAATGTTTGTTGCGTAAACGCCTTCAGGAAGCGTCAGTCCTGAAATTTTCCCTGGACGGATGTAACACTGCTGATGTTTCATGGCCATTGAAATTGTCCACTTCAAAGCGCGCAGTCTTCAACTTGAATGGGAGAGTCATGGCCATGGAAAGGGCTCGTCACTTTAAACGCGCGAAGAATGTGCCATTTTCGGGCGGGAAATCTTCGCTCCAGATTCATTTCTGGAACCCACCGAAAAGGGTCCTTTCCCCAGAAGGAGATTCGTTCCTCGACATTCCTTCCCTTCATCTGCAGGGTAAGGACTTGACAGGACTCCCCCTTTTGGCCGGGACCCACTGCAGAGTTTCCTTGATGCGGTTTGAACATACCCCACAACCCCACTCGAATGTGGGCCCCTACAGTACCCGCAGGGTGCAGTTACCAGTATAGTAGTAACATGTAGGAACCAACCCATGCCCGCCATTTGATACCAACAAAAAACATATGATCCCTGCGGTTCAAACCACCCACGAAACCAAAGAGGGTTCATAGCATCACCATTGGGTTCATACCATCACCATTGTCTACCAAAGGGTTGTCCTCCAAATTCGGCCCTGGCCTTTCTGATCAATGGGGCCAAGGAACCGCTCGCTGATGCTTTCGCCTTCCAGGCCCTGGCACTGCATGGGCTACTTGAGCCATGGGAGCTTCTCCAGTGGCTCTGTGCTGGTCGGCAGCGCAGGCGGGGTGGAAGGCG